TTTCAATGACATCCTAATTTCAGCAGCATACAAACCTGAATTAATGGACTGTTTACGAACAGTACTTAAGAAGTTTCAACAGGGTTAGGGTTAAGGTAAAAAAGGAAAAGTGCCTGGTTGCCGTGGACCAGGTAGAATTCCTTGGATATCTTATCAACGTGGCTGGCCTACACCCCACCAAGGAAAAGACGCAGGTGGGGGAGGGCATCGCTGGCGTCGCGACGATATGGCATGTGATCTTGGAGGTCTGAGATCACTGCTGATATCTTTGCTCCTGGACGGTCCAAGTGGATCTAAACCATCCTGAAGAGATGGTGAATGTAAAGAGCACATTCTGTCGATCCCAGGGATACTGCAATGTCCCTGGTAGATCCAGGAGAAGCTCTTTTTGCCAGCGGCAAAGAGGCAGCCATTAAAGCTGCTGAAGTTGGGACAGCTCCAAAATGAAAGAGAACGGAAAGAGAAAGTGTGCCGGTTTGGTGAGGACTTTTTCTTTACTTTAAGATTTGAAAGGACACCCTAAGGAAAAGAAATAATCTGTAAAATTTTTGACAGAAGTGATTAAGCGGCGATTTTAAACAGGAATGTCAAAGTAATATTTTTATTTTTTTTTCATTGCTGGATTTTCTACACATGATCTTATATTTTGAAACTGGACTGGTTCTTTTCTTTTCTTTTTATCTATTCTTTTGTCCTTTTTGACTTTATAATATTTTAAGCCAGAGACTCCCTTTTAGTTATTTTTTTTAATCATTTCCTTTTTTTATTAACTCTTATTATATTTTACTTGGAAAAGGAGGGGGAAAGTGAAAGCTAAAGAAACTTTGTAACACTGCCAACTAGAGGCTTGGAAATATTATATCTCTCTTTTGACCAGACAAAGCTGAGAAAGAACTGAGACTTCTTTTCAAGGACATTGCCTGTTTGATAAGATAGAGGGAAGAGCATGGGAGAGTATTATTGCAGGTGCTCTTCTGGGTTTCTATCAACAGCTGGAGTCTGGTGTTGAAGCTTATAGGAAAAGAAAAGGTGATAAGTCTTTGGAGAAGAGAGTTATAACAAGAGCCTTGGATAATTAAACAAAGTGCAGTGTGCTCTTTTTAATTTTTCTAAGTTGTGCTACCCCTCCTCATTAGTTTACTTTTTTTTTGTAATAGCTATTTGGATTTTCGGCTCTTTGGAACTTGTCTTTGTTTTTTTTTTTTCTTGTCTTTGGAAGTTAAATTTCTATGCTTGCTTTTAATTTTAAAGGAAAAGTTTTAGTATTAATGTTTCCCTTCTTTTTCTTTTTAAGGGAGTAGCTTTTCTCTCTCTCTCCCTTTCTGGTATTTTTGTCTTTCCATCTACCTTCCATATTGATTTTTTCTTTTTTTCTTTTTTGTTTATTTTTTATGCATCCTTTTATATTTGAGACCTCTTAATTGGATTAAGGTGTTGAAGAACCTGAAGAATTTTTCCTTTCTTTTTTTAGCCTTTTATTCTTCACTTTTTCGCCTTTTTTTTAGGATTTTACAACTTTTTCTCTTTTGTGTGTGTTTATGGTCTTTTCCTTCAAAAATTCATTTTTGAATTTTTATTGTTATCTAACCAACCGATTGGATTAAGGTATACAAGAACCTGAATAAATTTTTTTTCTTTTTTTATTATTATTACTATTTGGCTTCTTTATTCCTACTATTTTTATTTGGAATTGCAATTGGCTATTTCACAATTGGATTAAGGTCTAGAAGAACCTGAAGATTTTGAATTGATCAAAATGAGTAGGAAATTAACAGCTCCTGGTCCCTCAACTTCTACTTCTTCCTGTCCACCATCTGGAGGACAATGTTCAATACAGACAATGTTAAGGCAAGAAAAAGAACAAGAAAAAGTGACCCTACAGATGATTATGCAAGGAATTCAAAATATTCAAACAAGATCAGAGAATATTGAAAAGAGAATAGAGAACATTGAACAAAGAACAGAGAATATTGAACAAAGAACAGGGAAAACCAATGTAAAAGTGGAGAACATCCAACAAATGATGATGAAGTATGATGAGAGACTCCAAAAAATTGAAGAAGATAAACAAAGAGACAAGAAGATTGGAGACATTGATAGCAGATTAACTGTGGTTGAACAAGATAAAAGTGGGATGTTGAGATAGGAGATGGACAGATCAGAATTTTATCTCAGATACCAAAACATAGAGGAAGAAAAGGGACAAAACCTAGCTGAGACAATGATAGAAATTTTGGCTGAAGCTTTGGAAATAACTAAAGAGAAGATGATGGATGGAATAGACGAGGTTTATCGAGTCTTCACAAGATATGCGATGAGAAATAGCTTACCAAGAGAAGTCAGATTTACAAAGAAAGCCATTAAAACGCAAATATTGCAAGTGGCAAGAGAGAAAACATTGAAATACAAAGATAAGGAGATTGTGGTCTTGAAACAAGTACCCAGAAGAGTGAGAGAGATGAGAAGAGAATACCGATTTCTGACTAAAATTCTACTTTTTTTTTTTTTAAACAAGTTTTATTAATTTTTAAAACACACAAATTATCATTATTCATTACATGTTTAAACCTTTTTCCATTGTAAATTTAACAAGTCAGATAAATTATGATTCTGTTTTAAACCATTTCCATATAATATACCAAAACCTCTTATTCAATTTCTCTTTACTTCTCTTTACTCTTATTCAATATCATTATTATTATTTCATCTGATTCTTTCTGACTTAGTTACCATTATTATCATTCTATATTTCTACAAGTTTTTACCAATTCTCCCCCCAAAAAAGACATATACACACAACACACAAAACATAAAAAAAAATCTTTTTGGAAAGTAACTTGGACCCAGGTGTCTCTCTCTTCATGGACTTCAATTATATTCATGCTCATCTTACATATCATTACTTATTTTATTTACCATTCTAAGCCTTCTATATTAACTTCTCCACATATTTCACACTTCTTAATTCTACCTTAATTAATCATCTTAGTTTAAATCATTATATTTGTATCTTTTGTCCATTTTTTATCATCCCTTTGTCTCATCCATTATGAAAAAAAAGAAAATCAGTTTCTCCTGAAATCATTAATCAGAGTATGATGCCTTTCTATCTCCCCCCTAAGTTAATCAAATTAATCTTTAAAATAATATCTAATACCCAATCAGATTTTGCTTGGTACATTCTATCTAACTAATACATCCAACACAATTAAGTGCATAATTAGACAATAAATCCAAATATTAAAAAGAAATACTATAATCAAAATTTTATAATAACATCAATACCATAATTTTATTAAACTCTTTAATTAAAACAATATTCTAAACCTCTCCTATTATTAAGTTTTAAAACCAATCATTTTTAAACATTTAAACATTTTAATCTCTTATCAACTCTTAAACCATTGCAATACTACCATCTCATCTTATGTACCTTGCAAAATCTTTTTTTTTTAAAAAAAAAAAATTATACTTTATCCATTATCCATAAAAAATTCCTTTTTTCCATTTAATTTCAAAACATTGTAGCTTTTCTCCACCTTTTCCCTTTCTTTCTTCTCCCAACAAACCTTTCTACCCCCCCTTCTTCTAGCCTCTGCCTTACCGGCTTCCCTTCTCTGTCGTATTTCTTTTCCCCTTTGTTTACAATCATCATATTGGTTTTGCACTTTATTTTTCCCTTTCTTAAATGTTTTTTTAGATCTTAAGTCCTTAAGTCCTTTAGTTTTCTTCTTTTCTCTTCTTTTCTTTTCTTTCTCTCTTCCTTTTTTCTGGATCAAATTCTGAGATTCATTAAAGATGGCTCCTTCCTTTCTTTCTTGTTCCTCTGCTGTCTTCATCTGTTGTAATTTTTGTTGATAATTAGTAAGCGCCATTTCTAAGAAAAGGAAAGCTTCTTCCACACCATCTTTACCATTTTTTTTTGCTTGTTCATATTCTTTTCTTATTTCCTCAACAGAAAGAGCCATTATAAATCTTTTCTTTTCTTTTCTCCTTCTTTCTTCTTACAACAACCAGAATATTCAAAAGAAAATAAAAAAGATAAAACAGTCCCAAAGTTATCAATCAGTCCAAACCAAGGCAGAGTTCTCACTTTCTCCTTCTGGGGTAATATCAATCAAAGAGAAAGAAAGTCCAAATCTGTTTAAAATCTTATTACAATATATTCTAGTCTTCAAATCCTTAAGGCATCTGCTCCAACAAAATCTTAGCATACAAATGTTTTCTTTTTAATCCTCTCTCTTCCCACTCATCGCTTAAAACCAATTTCCACCTAAAAAAATAGGTTTCTTAATATCCAGTTATTTATTCCGTAGGAAAAGAGGGAAAGCTATCCTTTCAGCACCTTCAAGCAGCCGTTTTTTTCCTCTTCTGGCAGGTATTATTCAGAAAGTCATACTTTTCAGGAATTTTATTAAATATGTCTTAGAGTCCTAGGAGCCAAGAAAAACTTTCTCCTCTCAATCACTTTCTCCACTTCCTCCTGCGCATTCTTACCCGGCTGCCAGCTTCTTTGTGGCGGCCATTACGGACCGCCGCTGCACCGTCCTGGGAAAAGGGGGTTCTGCCGGCCAGGGAGGGGGTCTGCAACACCCCCAGTCCCTTCTCCGGATCCCCCCTACCTTCAGCTGCCCCTGCAGGGCAGCCTAGCTCCGTACCCGTGTGGGTCGGAGCCCCAAAAACGGCTAGCGCGGCAGGGATCGCGCAGCTTCGCAAATCCCTGCCGCTCGCGAAGCCGACAAACCGGAAGTTTTCTAAAATTCTACTTAAAAAAGAGGTGAATTATAGATGGCTGATTCCAGAAGGTTTAATGTTTACATGGCATGAAGAGAGATATAGAATTGATTCAATTGAGAAAGCTGAATCATTTTACACAGAATTTTTCAGAGGGGAGGAAGAGGCAGAAAAAGAAATTTCACTAATTGAATTCCAAGAGGACTCCCAAATGACGACTGAAAAAGAAGAAGGTGCAGTAGGTGGAAAGGAGGAAGCCAAAGAACAACGTGAACCAAGATCCACGAGAGCTGTCAAACCTAATTACAAAATATAACCATGGAAGAGAAAAAATTGATTACAATTAATATAAATGGACTTAACTCAGCCGTTAAAAGAAGGAAAATCTTTCATAAATTAGAGAAATTAAAATTTGATATAATCTGCCTACAAGAAGTACACATTAAAAAGCAATATGAACAATTGTTGATACAGCCAAAATTAGGGAAAATATTCACTTCCTTGACACAATGTAAGAAAAGAGGAGTGGTTTTATATATTAATGAGACCATCTCAGCGAAATTGATTTATACTGATGACGACGGAAGAATATTAATGGTGGAAATAATGGACAATAATATGAAAACACTCCTGATTGCAATCTATGCCCCGAATGACAATCAAGAAGAATTTTATAAAAAACTACATATGAAAATAATTGAACTGGACTATGCTAATATCGTTATGATGGGAGACTTCAATGGAATTGTAGACAATAAACTGGACTACACAACACAGAAAACAATAAAGCAAAATAGAAAGACTCTTCCTAAATCTTTTTTTAAAATGTTAGATGAAATAAACTTAAAAGATACATGGAGAGAAAGAAATGCTAAAACTAAACAATACACCTTCTACTCAATTAGACACTTATCATGGTCCAGAATAGATATGATATGGATGTCAACAGAATTGTTAACTAATATTCAAGAAATAAATATTGAAACAAGTACTTGGGCAGATCACAATCCAATGACAATTAAATGGAAAGGACAAAGAAGAAGATCTAGATGGACGTTAATACTATTTTAAAGGGAAAAGACTTCACACAGTGGATGGAGAAAGAATTGGCCTTTTTCTTTAGAGAAAACAAAAAAGAAGATACATCAATGCAGAATGTATGGGATACAATGAAGGCATATGCCAGAGGCTTGATAATAGACTATACAAGGAAAAGAAATACCATGAAAAGATTAGCCTCTAAGGCATTAGAAGATGAGTATAAAGGACTTGAAAAAGAGCTACAGAAAATGCCACAGAAAAAGGACATTAAGTTAAAAATGGATATAACCAAACATAAAATGGGTCTAATAGAAAAAGAAGAATTAGCACAGAAAATTAGAGGTGCCAAACAGAACTACTTTGAAGATGCAAATAAACCAGGTAGATGGTTAGCATATAAATTGAGAAAGGAGAAAGAATCAAGGAAAATATTGCAATTAATAGATGATCAAGGCCAAGTTTGCTATGGTGGTAAAGAGAAGAAGGAAAGTATTCGAGACTATTATGGGAAACTATACACACAAGAGAATATTGATGGGGAAAGAGTTAAACAGTATTTACACAATGCTAATTTACCCCAGATATCTAAAGAGATTGAAACAATGTTAGAAAGCAATATAACAATGATGGAGTTAACTGAAGCACTTAAGAAACAAAATAATGGAAAGGCACCAGGCCCAGATGGACTTCTGGCAGAATTTTACAAAACATTACAAGAATCATTGAATTTCCCATCGCTAGAAGTTATGAATGAAGTTATGTTAAAGAAGAGGATACCTAAATCATGGTCAGAAGCTTATATCACACTTGTTCCAAAAGAGGAGGCCGATCCATTACAAATCAAGAACTATAGACCAATTTCCTTACTAAACGCAGATTATAAAAATTTTGCTTCAATATTGGCAGAAAGACTTAAAAAATACTTAAACAATTTTATCCATCCTGATCAAAATGGATTTCTGCCAAAGAGACAAATTAAAGATAATATGAGAGTAATCTTGGACACTTTGGAATACTACGAGGCACACCCTGAAAAACAAATGGCTTTGATATTTCTAGATGCACAGAAGGCATTTGATAATGTGAATTGGCGATTCATGTTATTACTGCTGGAACAGATGGGCTTTGCTAAAAAATTTATTCAAGCAATAGAAGTTATATATCATAAGCAAGAGGGAGAACTGACAGACTCTATTGATATAAGAAAAGGAACAAGACAAGGGTGCCCACTATCACCTCTATTGTTTGTGTTAACTTTGGAAGTGCTAAATAGAAATATTAGAGATGAAAAGGATATAAAAGGGATGAAAATTAAAAAGGAAGAATTTAAGTTGCAAGCATTTGCAGATGATCTCGTTTTTATCTTAGAAGACCCACTAGAAACAGCATCAAAACTGATAGAAAAGATAGAGACATATGGAAAGGTGGCTGGTTTTAAAATAAATAAAGATAAGACAAAGATCTTGACAAAGAATATGCTATCAAGACAAAAGGAAGAATTGGCAGACCTATTGAAAATTCAGGTCACAAATAAGATCAAGTACTTGGGGATATACTTGACAGCAAGATGCAGTACACTAAAAGAGAATAATTATATTAAACTTAAACAGCAGATAATGCTAGATTTGGCGAAATGGGAAAATTTACAACTGTCACTAATAGGAAGAATTTCAACAATCAAGATGAATATATTACCCAGAATTTTATATTTGTTTCAAACAATTCCAATTAGGCTTGGAAAAGACGACTTTGAAGATTTAAATAAAATTGTGTTGAAATATATATGGCAAGGTAAGAAAGCGAGAATAAAGTTAAAACTTTTGCAAGATGCTAGAATAAGAGGAGGATTTAGTTTGCCTGATTGGGAGTTGTATTACCAAGCTACAAATTTGATGTGGGTTAAGGAATGGATAACATTAAGAAACACTATATTGTTGACATTAGAACAGGGGTGGGCAAACTTTTTGGCTCGGGGGGCCGCATTCACTTTTAAAATTTGACAGACGGGCCGGGTCAGCACAAGATTTTTTGGGAATCGCCCCCCCCTT